GATACACAGATTACCTCGACAGAAGTCATTTTCACAAAAAGCTAAAAATTCATATTTAGTCAAATTTTGGACTTTAAGCTAGAGCCCTAGCTTAAAAAAAATTGTGAAACTGAATTATCAAGAGTAAAAACATTTTTTTTAGTCTTTTGGAAGCAGCATTCAAAATCCATTTGGTTCACATCTGCAGGGGCATGACAGAGGAATAAATAAAGATAAACAGTTCTTACATGTTTTCAAACAGTTCATCCTTTTTAGCCAATCCTATCCATATTTTTATTGAATGGAATGTATTACCACTAAAGCTGCTCAATATCAATCTCCAATGCCTGTTCCTGATTCCCCTTCTGCTATTCAATGTCACTAAACCAAATAGTCTGTTTGTGAGCCACCAATGTATAGTTTAATGTGTTGGCTGAGGGCATGTTAACAAAGTGAGAATCTTATTGGTTGGCCAGCTTTCTTTACAATTCAATGGAAAAAAAGAACCCCTCTCCATAAAAAAAGAAAAAAATCACACTGACATAATGTAAATGTTCGTGTCAGCTTAAATGAACAGCAGTTTATGGTGAAATGTACTCACTTGAGTATCTTCAGCTCACACACAGGATTCTTCAGTCCCTCACAGATCTCTTTGACTCCTGAGTTCAGCAGACGGCTGTTGTTCAGGTTCATCTCTTTCAGGATGGTTTTGGAAGAGAGAACAGTAGCTAGAACTTGACAGCTTTTCTCTGTCCGCTTACAATTATTCAGCCTGTACACAAAACAGCATTATTTATTATTCAGTATATATTCAACACACATCAGATCAACAGTTCTTTATATCTGCTACACATGTCACTGACAGTCTTTTGTAATCATAAAAGTTATAATGTATAAACTCATGCTCACTCACTTCATTGTCTCCAGTTTGCTATGAGAGTCTATCAAAAGAGCAGAGAGCTTCTCCCCATCCAGATCTCCTAATTTATCTTCACTCAGATCCAGTTCTGTCAGAAGTAATGGACTTATTTGCAGTACTTTAGTGAGATACTCACACGCTTTCTCTGCAGCAGGACTTTTCAAAAACCTACAGGAAACAGAAGACAATTTTAGATGAGATAATCTTGTTGTAATTTTATACCATTTGCTGCTCCCATCCTGCTTATGGGTGGAGTTCAGCAAACACAGATCATCCCCACTAATATGTTTCCATAGTTAATGTATTACTGTGATGTTGCTTTTGGTTTTTAGTCGTTCCTAGAGTTTGTAATTGGTTTCAAAAGCATTCCTTTTAGGTGTTAATTTTACAACCATAAACTAATGCTCATAGAAGGCTTTATACAGAATTTATTAAGAATTAATACAGAATGTTTTCTTTAATGAATAATTTTTTTATATATCAAATATATTTTTCATTTTGTACAGATTGAAGAGAATCTGTTATTAGTCAATGTACGCGACACTTTTTTGGTATGTGAAAAATGGACTAAAAACACTAAAATAGTAGCGACAATCCCTACTAAATTGTAATGTTTAGAGGACATTATGTGATGTTTGAATATTTATTGCATTTGTGTAAATAAATTACTTAATTTATTGACAATTGCTTAACTTGTTTACCATTTGAGGAATTATAAAATCTGTACTGTTTTCATCAGTACAGTAGAAGTGTAGCAA